ATTCCAGAACTCTTAATTGTGCTCATGTGGAAACTATAAATAGACCAAGAGGCAGCTGTTTGAACAGAACGAGGGGATACTACGTAGTTTAAAATCAGAAAAGGTGTACGCCAGGGTTGTATCCTTTCACCATACTTATTCAATCAGTATGCTGAGAAAACAATCTGAGAAGCTGGACTATATGAAGAAGCACGCAGCATCAGGACTGGAGGAAGACTTATTAACAACCTGCTATATGCACATAGGAGCCCTGGTGGTGCAGTGGTTAAGAGCACGCCGGTTCAATCCACCAGGCAATCACTGGAAGCTCTATGGGGCAGTTCTACTCTTGTCCCACAGGGTCCCTATGAGTCACAATCGACTGGACAGCAACAGGATTGGTTTATACGCACATGGAGTAGACCTGGTGGCCCAGGAGTTAAGCATTCATCTGCTAACCAAAAGGTCTGCAGTTCAAACCCACTAGCTGCTCCGCTGGGAGAAAGATGCAGCAGTCTGCTTCCGTAAATATTTAGTCTTGGAAACCCTGTGGGGAAGTTCTACTCTGTCCTATGGGGTTGTTATGGGTCGGAATTCAACTCGAGAGGTAATGGGTTTGGTTTTTTTGGTATATGTAGATGACACAACCTTGCTTGCTCCCAAAAGTGAAGAGGCTTAAAGCACTTACAGATGAAGATAAAAGACTATACACTCTTTAGTATGGATTGCACTTCAGCATACAGAAAACAAAAATTCTTACAACTGGACCAATAAGCAACATCATGATAAATGGAGAAAATATTGAAGTTGTCAAGGATTTCATTTTACTTGGATCCAAAATCAATGCCCATGGAAGCAGCAGTCAAGAAATCAAAGGACATATTGCATTGGGCAAATCTGTTACAAAAGACCTTTTAAAGTGTTAAAAAGTAACTCCGAGTGATGTCACTCTGAGTACTAAGGGGTGCCTGACCCAAGCCATTGTATTTTCAATTGTCTAATATGCTTGTGAAAGCTGTACAATGAATAAGGAAGACCGAAGAAGAATTGACACCTTTGAATTATGGTGTTAGCAAAGAGTGTTGAATGTACCATGGACTGCCAGAAGAATGAACAAACCTGGCTTGAGAGAAGTACAGCCTGAACGCTCTGTAGAAGCAAGAATGGTGAGACTTCGTCTCACATACTTTGGACATGTTATCAGGAGGTACCATACCAACCCCTGGAGAAGGACATCATGCTTGGTAAAGCAGAGGGTCAGTGAAAAAGAGGAAAACCCTCAGTGAGATGGATTGACACAGTGGCTGCAACAATGGGCTTAAACACAGAAACAATTATGAGGAAGGTGCAGGGCCAGGCAATGTTTCCTTCTGTTATACGTAAGGTCACCATGAGTCAGCTGACTCTAAGACACCTAATAATCACAATTGCTCTGTATTACATCTTGCTCAGGGCCTCCTCTACTGGATTTTCACTTCCTAGAGATCAGAGACTACTTTGGAATTTTCTGTTGTGTCTAGAACAGTCAGTGTTGGGCATATAGGAGGATCTCAATAATTATTTGAATAAAGAGACTGTCAGCTGAGATTTGGAATTGTGGTGGGGTCATAACTCTCTTTTTTTAGCTGGGAATTGATTTTTGGAACTAGAAAAGAGTAGAGGTTCCCTTTGGAACTAGAGTTCTTTTTGGAACAGGAAGAGAATGCACACATAGAATAATGCCATCACATTGTGAATGTAGTAGCCTTCCAGTCAATGAAGATGAAGTTTGCTTTAGGTCCCTCTCTTTTCCAAGATCCCCCTTTTTTTTTTTGGTATTCTTCTCAACAAATCACCTCTGGCAATCTACTGATCTTTGCCTTCTGATTATTCCAGGCCATGAAAAACTGTCACTATTGTTCTCCCTGAACACTTAAAAATTTTTATGTCAATCTAAAAAATAAAATTAATGAGAACCAACTCAGACTGTGCTTCCACAATCTAGAACCTTGCTCAAGAGTCCCTTCTCCCCACTTTCAAGGGAAACTGGTTTCTTTGGTTTTTGATGAAAATTATCATTTTGGTATGGTTATCAAATGTACAAATTTACTGTGATATACTAAATTGTCGTGAGCCATTCCTCAGGAGGCTGCTTAGGAAGGAAATTCTCTGCACAGAGGAGCTGATAAACGGAGCTGGGTTTCTCACCAAGACTCAGAGTCTTCATTTAGCTGTGCTCTGCAAATGATCTTAAAACCAAAAGTTCTCTCAGAAAAGGGACTTGAACATTGTTTAAGTTCCAACAGGAGGCAGGAACTTTGAAACAAGATCTATGTGGCCTGCTCAGCCCTTTGGAAGGTGCGGAGGAGATGTGGTTTGGCTCCAGGGAATGGTGTTTTAAGGGAACGTAATGTAGAGTGTAAAGAAGCCTGGGTATGATGTAGTAAGACAAGAGTTCAAGATGTTTAGCTACTTACTAGTTTTATGATTGACAGCAACTCTGTAAACATCTCTGAACTTTTGCTTTCTTACTTGTATGAAAAGCAGGTGAGAAGATATCTAATATATTCACCTATGGATGTTATTATTAGTTAATAAGCTAAGAAAATATCTTCAGATGAGAGCTTAGGGACATAAGGGAAGAAACTGAGCTTCATTCATCTTAGAAACTGGCTAAAGATGAAATGGTTCTGAAACATAGCAGGTACTCAAGAAATGGTTTTTGAATGAATTTGTCAGAAAAATGGAATCAGTCAGAGAGTAAGTGGAGTCAGAAGTTGGCACCAAGGCTAAAGAGACTCTCAGGCCAGGCATGTAGAAGGCAGAGGAAGGAACTTAAGAGGTCAGATAGGAAGATGTACTCTTTACCCAGGGGTCAGGTTCACTGAAAAGCTTCAGGAGCCAAGGTAGCTGTAGCAGAGAAGTGCTGAGAGCCCATTACCTGTAGAGAAGACGATCAAGCCGGTTTTAGAGAATCAAGATTCACAGTAGTAATGCCTACCCAAATAGACCCTAAACAACATGTCTGAGCATTTGAATTTACATCTGCAACAGCTAGAATGCAAGGCAAGGGTGGGGGCTGAAGAGCCCATTGAAATTTTCATAGGCTTTAGGATCAGACAAACCAGAGTTTAAATCCTAGCTCCACCATTCACTGGTGGTATAATCGTTGACAAAAAATTTAATCTCTCTGAGACATCTGGAAAACAAACATTTTTAACTCTAAAAAATGAAGATAATAGTACCTACTTTGGAGAACTGTTTCAAAAATTAAATAAGTGAATATATGAAAGGACCTAAAACATGCTTAATCTATTTTATTTTTTACTGCTATTGTTATCATTGTTTTTGTTGTTATTGTGGTTTTTATGCCCAACAAGGTAAGTACCTGAGTCCCTGGGTGGAGCAAACAGTTAAACACTAACTACTAACTGCGAAATTGGCAGTTTAAACCCACCCACAGACACCTCGGAAGACAGGGCTGGCAATCCGCTTCCGAAAGGTTACATCCTTGAAAACTCTATGGAGCAGTTCTACTCTGCACACGTTGGGTCTCCATGAGTCTGAATTGATTCGATGGCAACTTACAACAATGTGTGTACCAGCCAACTTAATCTTTGACTTGACTTCAGTTCAAGAATTTATAATATGTAAATTAAATTGCTTCTTTATTTTTGTGTTTTCTTCTGTGTGTGCTTTTTTTCTCCTTAGTGTTCTTTTAAAAGTTCACAAAGAAAAATTCAAACTTTGTCTTAGTAACACTAAGGAGGAAAAAGGGCTTTTCCACACTCAGTCCTGGGTAGCTAAGTGGCTGACATGGTGGGGGGTCTGGCCAAGTAGGCGCAGGATATTAGAGGAACAGAAGAGCAGGGCAGAGCCAGGGGAGGAGTGGAAGTCAGGCATGGTTCAAGGTTTTGTTTAGGTGACTCCATAAAAGAGGTGCACCACCCTACATTCAAACGCACTTACAGCACCTTCCCAATAAAACACGACGGCCCCCTTAAGCATTTGTTTGCTTCCCTTCATTTGAGTGGACACCAGAAATAATCTTGCTTCCTAAAGCCTACTGGTTTGTAAGATTGTAAGATGCACACTCGTAACAGTAGACAAAGTTAGGCCAAATCTTTCCAATGGAACAGATTATATTAGCGAGTAAATTAACATAAGATTTGTTATGGAAAACGTACTACTGATAACTTGCCAGTAGATGCTCGATAGTTGACCAACTAGATGGCTTGTTAATCTCTGCTAAGTCAGATTTTCAAAGAAATTTCGTTCTGGTGTAATGTGTTAGACTGTGAAGCAAAACCATTACCAGGGCTTTAGTTAGGACTGGAGCTAACTATAACCTCAAGGGGTTTGGGTTCCGATAGACACAGGTCCCATTCCGTGAGGTCCATACGTGAACTCCCCAACACAGAGCTTTGCTGTTACTTCCTTAGCTACCAGGCCAGAGGGCTGTTTTAGTCCAACAACGATAACCAGAGAGCCAGGGTAGGCCTTGGGGAGGGGAAGCTGGCGGGAGGGCTGGCTTTCACTTCCAAAAAGTATGGCTTTTGTAGGGAGATGATGCCTTAACGCCTGAAGCTGTGTGCGAAGATGAAGTCGAGGGGATATACTGAGGCAAAACCAAGTGACTAAATAGCGCGCACCGTGGAGTGGGCTGTATACAGGTGTCCAGGGCGTTTGTCTGGATGCTACGTTTGCTTAAGGCGGATCCTCCGAGAGGAACAGGAGAAAAGACAGAATTGCATTCATCTCTGTGAGGGGCTGGTGGTGGGCGGCCACGAGGTGCTGAGATACTCTAAACACGAAAAAAAGGGGTGAGGGAAACAAGGCTGGAGGGGAACAAAGGCGCTGCGGGGTCGCAGAGCGCAGTTCAAGGCCGCTTGAGCTTACCCTGAGGCCGCAGGAGAGCCGGGGCCGGGAGGCGGCGGCGCGGCCACTGCAGGCGGGGCGCCTTCCCCGGAGCCCCGCCCCAGCCGGCGCCGGGCCAATGGGAGCTCGGGATGTTAGCGGGTGGGAGGCGTGGCTGGGTTGCTACAGCCGGAGCTGGGCGGCGGCGGGCGCTGGCTGTGGAGTGTGGCTGAGTCCGAGACGGCGGCGCAATGGAGGGGCTGGAAGGTGAGGAGGTGGAGGGATGGGGGCCGGGCGGCTAGAGCGGGTCTCGGAGCAGTTGGGGGGCACTGGGCTCCGATCCCGGGGACGCCAGGACAGGTCTGGAGTAGCGGACTCCGCCGCGACCCCGCCGCGTCGCAGGAGGCCTGGGCAGGCGGGAGCAGCAAAGCCCCCCGATGCGGTGGAGCTAGTGACGCCCAGACGATCTTCAGCTGGGGCTCCGCACCCCGAGCCTAATCTTGTCTCTGGGGCACTCCTGCAGGTCCCTTCATGCCGTTTTCGGGTCTTGCCCGACTCCAGGGTTCCCTTTTGGCAATCACAGCCGGGCAGATTTTATTTTCGTTGCAAATTGGACTTTTCGTTAATGTCCTTGGTCTCCCCACCGCCAGCCTTTGTGGGGGCCCCAGGGTGTGTCTCAGACCTCGAGCTCCTGCCCCTTTTTTCTGCTAGTTTCCCTAGGTAACCGTTTTCCCATCTCTACAGCATCTTCTTTTGGAGGATGTCAGAGCATCTCCTAAGGAAGTGTCACTGGCCAGCTTTGTAGGTGGGACAATAGATTAAAAGAAGGATTTAATGGCTTTTTCACGACGACCCTGTGAAAGAACAGCAGGCATTGGTTCCTTATCTTTGGATTTATCCTTGTGCTGTAACCGTGACTCCAGATTTTGCTTTGTCCCAATTCTTTGACTTTTCTCTATTCTCATCACCCATTTAATCCTGTGTAATTATAGCATTTTCCTAAAACAAAGGGAAAAATAGCCGGCTAGCAATGGCATCAACAGTTTCAAGATTATTTTTCAAATGTTGGTTAATCGTTCTGATAATCATGAAGAGCAAGTCTTATTATTGAAAGATCCCGTCCTCTTGATTTAGTCCCCACCCCCCCATTTAGAAGGATTCAGGTGGATTAAAACTGAGCAGAGGCATTGAGCCCTGTGTTTTATTGCATGGTACAGAGTAAAATATATCATGTTTGCTATGAAGTGAAAAGCAACGGGTAACGTTTTTCAGTGGCCTAAATGCACCAAAAAGCAAATGTAATAACTTGAGTATGAGAATATTTCATACTTTTGCTCTGAGATGAAGCGCTCGTAGTAAACACCGCAAGATAATAGATAATCAAAGAATTCTGATAATTTTCCATTTGTAGGCAGCTGCAGTATATTATGAACTATGATGGTCTTAGTCTTTGTTAACTTTGTTTTAGACAGGTCAGTCAAGTTTCCATGAAATAAGGATTTGTGATGATAATGCCCCTTACTTTCAAGCTATTTTTCTTTAGAGGACTCCTCTAGAGGCAGCTTATTTTTAATAAATTTTTAAAATATGTGATGGTGTTATAACATAGTGGGTAGGACCATGGGTGCTGGAATTCTTACAGGGTTATCATAATAAACATAAAGTGCTTTAGAATAATTTCTCTGTAGATCTTTATTGTTTTATTCAACATTCATAATTAAGGCAAAAACCTTTGTCTTATTTTTCAGTTAGCTGTCCTAAACACCTAAAATAGTGTCTGACAAAAAGTAGATACTCAATAAATGCTTGTCAAATAAATGAAATATTTATACCATGTCTTCATCTATGATAGAGGGCATTCTAGGGGATATTTAGGCATTACTGTTGAATTACCTTGCTAAGCATGCTTTTAAAATGTAATGGAAACCTATTATAATACTCAATTACGTAGGGAGAGAAATACACAGATTCGGAGGTAATGTGTTATATTATGGTTGGCAGGTTTAATTGGCCCACCTTCTGATGTGTCATGTTAAACAGTACTTGCAATTTACTCTTCATTTGTGTGTGTTTGTGTCTATGTGTGTTTTAATAAGATGCTATCATTAGCTATGATGTGCTTGATAGTAATAAATTAAGTTGAACCATATATAACTCCCATTTTTGCAGGGTAGAACAGTTGAATATTGGTAATCTCCATTGGTTCAACCTAATAAAATAAAAACTCAGAGTTTTGAGTAGGACAGTGCCTTTTTTTGGTTTAGTTTTGAATCGGTCTTTATTAGATAATTCTTTGCAAAGATCAATACTTTGGGTCTTCGGGTTACCATTTATTACTTCATTTATACATGCCTTCGTTTAATAAATAGTGATTCAGTGGTAGAAAAGACAAAATTTCTGCCGGATTGGAAATTAAAATCTAGCACTTTGAAGGTACCTAATAAGCATTATATTGCAGTATCTGGTAGAAGATCTTCACGAGTAACCCTGATGTGTCGTAGTAATTGAGCAAATAACTGTACTCTTCGGCATGAGACTAACGTATCCAGTTCAAACCAATTACCAGACTAATCTTGGTTTTAAAACCAGAAAACATGGACCCTTAAAAAATTCTAGGCTTGGTAACCTTACCCTTTCTCATTATCTTTACATGTATTTGCACACAGATCATATACTGGTTATATTATTTTTGGTCTTCTGGGACTTTTATGCTTCTTCCTGGATTGCCAAGAAATGAACACCATATTTTGAAACCAAATAGAAGTTATTACTCATGATTTTGTGTAACTTACATCTCAGCTCTTCTGCATTGTGTAGATGCTTAGAGCAAAGCCTTTAATTCCTATAGGTAGTGCCCTATATCTAGGGGCAGTAAAAGTATTTCTAGACTTGAGAGGGTTCCAGTCTCTTACGAGCTTTTTCATCTGCCAAATGGAGGATGATAAAATCTAAGCACATTTTCCCATATACACAGCATTGTTATTTCCTTTGTAACGTCCTGAAAAGTAGTTGTTAGCAATTGTGACAGAGACCAGGCTACCCATTATCCTTCTCCTTTTGGCGTGCTGAATTATTACATCTTAGTACTTCGCTTTCAAACTTGGTTAGGAGTTTGGTTGCTCTTCTCTAATATCGTCTATTTGAAGACAGCCATCATGCCCCGTTAGGGTTTCTCTTTTTGTTTTGTTTTTCTGTAACGCTAGTTTATTGAATAATTATTCGAATGCTAGTTTACTGAATAATTCTTCATCTTTTAAATTTTGTCTAGCATTCAGTTTTTGGTACTGAGCGTAATGCCAGACTTACATTCAGTGTGTGGGAGACCCTGTGTTTGAATCCTTCCTCTGTTTTTAGCTCTGTGATTTGGGCATTTACTTAATCTGAACTTCAGTTTCCTCAGCTGTAAAAAATGGAGCTTTTAAATACCCACCTTCCTGAACTATATTAAATATTAAATGAGGTTGCATACATAAAGCATTTAGCAAAGTGCCTGGTACACAGAAGGCCCTCGGCACATGTTTATTGGATCAATAGCATATCACGGGAGGTATGTTAGTTTCAGAGTGGCCCAGGGTAGTTAAATCATGGCACGCTTGTAAGGGATGGTGGGCTGTCTTACCACATAACATTGCAGCAGAGTAGACTGGAGGTGAGAAGCTGGAAGTCCATATATATGATGATGGGGATTTGAAATATAGCAAAAGTAGCAGGAATTAAAAGGGGAGGATAGATTTAGGAGCTGTATCTGAGGTAGAACAATGAGATATGTCTGCTGGATATGAGACGGAAAAGGAATCAAAGATGAAGCAGCTTTCTAGTTTGGACTAGGCGGTGCTATCTTTAACTGAAAGGAAGACTACGTTTGGGGGGTGAGGTCATGCATTTGGCTTTAGAAATGTTGTGTTTGCGCAGTGCTTCGGGAATATCTGGTGGAAGAGTCTCCGTAGGTATTTGGAAATACCTACCTGGAGTTTTTAGTTCAGTGGTCATCAGCATATAAGTGACCTCAAATGGATGAAGCCATCCAGGAGGATCATAACAAGACGAGGAAACTTAGGGGAAAAGGAAATGGAAGGGGAAATTCTTTGAAGAGGTTTAAAAACACATAAGAAAGAGAAACCATTCTTTATAGAGTAGTGAATATGTGCCAGAAAAAGAAACAGCCTGTGGCACCTGGTATTCCTAGCAGGTTTAAGTACTTAGCTTGTGAGATCTGAGAAACTTGGGCTTATGGCCTTGGAGATAGAAATATCATTGAAGCCAAAGGAGAAAAGACTTAAAAGTTGGAAGAGATTGATCAGCAGTGCCTCGTGCTGTAGAAAGGTCAAAAGAGGGCTTTGAATCTGACATTTAGTAGATTGATGATGATCAGTTGCCTGTTTCTTAAGTTCTCTCCTCTGATGTCCTATTATTAAAGAAGTCTTCTCCAATCCTACTTGTTACAGATTGACTTGTATCTCCCCAGATTATGAATTGAAACCCTAAACCCCGTACCTGTGGATGTGATCCTGTTTTTCTTTCTTTAGGTTAATGGGATACCAGTGTTAGGTGAGTCCCAAACCTGATCAGTTCTGAGTTAGAAGAAGAGCAGAGTAGACAGAAAGACACACACAGGGGAAGAGGGAGACAGATGAAGGAGACGTGCATCTACAAGCCCAGGAACCCCAAGAAATGCTGGCAGCTACTAGAAGCTGAAAGACAAGTAAGGACCTCCCTGTAGAGCCACACCCTGAATTTAGACTTCAGCCTCCTGAACTGTCAGAAAATAAATTCCTGTTCTTTAAAGCCGCCGTTTGTGTGATTTCTGTTACAGCGGCACCAGGTAACTAGACAGTGGCTAAGCACTCCACCCATGTCCCAAACACACAGACACAGAGCCTTGTGACTGGCCTCTCTCCCTCTGCCCTGCTTTATTTTTCTACATAGCACATATCACCACCTAACACTGCGTATATTTAATCCTTTTTCTTTATTTTTCACTGTTAGAAAAGTATAAGCTCCATAAGATTGTTTTTTTTTCACTGCTATATCCCTACCTCGTAGAACAGTTCCTGTCTCATGTTAAAAAAAAAAAAAAAAACCAAACCCACTGCTGTCGAGTTGATTCCGACTCATAGTGACCCTATAGGACAGAGTAGAGCTGCCCCCATAGGGTTTCCAAGGATGTAAATCTTTATGGAAGCTGACTGCCACATCTTTCTCCCATAGAGCAGCTGGTAGGTTTGAACTGCCAACCTTTCAGTTAGCAGTGGAGCTCTTAACCACTG